AAGAGTTGAGTAGATTTTTTTACATTAGATAATAGGTTTTACTCTCACAATTAATTTTCTTTCAACTATAACCATCTTCAACTCTATTTTACATAATGTTAAGACCCTGATGGCAAAAGCATTTTATAAACTTATAATTCTTTTTACATTTATTTAAAAAGGTTCAAATTGGTACCAGGATAATCAACACAAGTGGGCCTGGGGTAGCTATCATTGTTATCTTCATACAGATATTTTCTACAATTTTAGATTCTATGACTAAACTATTTGCTAAATTTAAGTGTAGCTTACCAACATCCAAGTTTGCACAAACAATTTTATCTTCTCACGTGTTTGCACTATGATCACAATAGCTCCCAAAGGGTTAATAGAAATCCATTTTTACATTACTTTATAGTTTTACTCTTAAGTTAATTTTGAACACTCCAAACAATAACATGTAGGCAGCACCATATTTTCTTAACATATCCTCATATGGCTGTACCACGTTCCAAATTTTGTTTGATCTCAGCAGTGTGTTGGCCATAAAACCGCTCAAGTTTTTTGTTAAACTTGGCATTCCTCTCATTAATGTAGTCAATATCTGCGTCATCATTGTGTATCCGCCTTCTGGAGTATTTAGCTCTCTTCGCAATTTGTCCTTCCAAGTCGTCCACCATTCTGTCGATAGCCTGTTTACGATCTTCATGCATACCGTGAATGATCACATTTGGACCTCCATAGAAAGCATCTCCATATTTTTGTTTTTGTTTGTCATACTGCTCCATGTCCGGTGCAGGCATATTCTTGACCAATCTATTATACTGCCTTATTGTCGCTTGATCGTATGTCGAAAAGCCCTCATCTGGATTCCTTTTCTTCTTTTTACGCTCCAAACGTTCTGCTTCCGTCGCTGAGATGTTCAAAAGTTTTACTCTGTCGTAATTTTTGCCTGACGTTTCAGCTTCTTCGCGCTTTGCTTGATCATCGAGTAACCATTCCGCCTGACGCCGTTTTGCTTCATAGTTCGGTGGTAATTTATTTCTAGCCTCTTCAGCCACTACCTCCTGATGATTGTGTGTCCTGGCTTCATTCCTGGCGGAATGTAGAGAGCGTAATCTCTTCATACGTTCTGCTTGCTTCTCTGCAAACGTCATTTCTTTTGGTGTTGTTGATGCTTTCTCTTCTGTAGTTGCACTCATTTTAACCAAGGGACGCTCTCTTGTTAATACCACAAATTAAAACTCAACGTGGTATTAAGGACTCACGCTCAAGCAAAAACGACCCAAGTGGCGCTCTACTTCAACTCAACTTTTGGTTAATGACTTTGTGGTAGAGTGTAACCATAATTTCGCCAATGTCATTTTGTATTTGAAAGACAAACTGTCAAAGGATTTTATGTAGAGCTGTGGTAGAGCCAAAAAAAATTTTGAGAATGAAAGAATAACAATGAATAAATTGTTATCGTTTACGGGCATGATAAAACTTATACTAGTAAAATATATATACAGCTTAAAGTTATACACTTACCTAGAATATATACAAAAGGAGTAAAAACGCGAGATAAGAGTAATTTAAGGGACGCGCTCTACTTCAGAATGATGTGAATGTTATTGTGATCAGGGATGTCAGATTGTGATGGGCCAAAGCTGGTACAGTGTCGCTAAAAGGCTCTTAAATCTGGTATTTAAAAAAAATGTTGGTACACTCACAATAATGTTATATAAATAAATAAAATTAATCGTTTATTTTGTAATAAAACATTTAATCTTGTAAATGTTTTTTTTAATTATCGAATAATATCTTGATTATTTTAAAAAATAAAATTTTCTAAAAATAAATTAGTGTCATTATTCGTGACGTTTTTTATTAGTTCTTATAAATGTCCATACATAATATGAAAAAAAAAGAAAATCAACCGTGAGGTCCGTCAATTAGGTCAATGTACCTAATTTTTATATTATGTTCTGACAAAATGACAAAATCATATCAGTCATCCATGGAAAATTCACTCGATTGATAAAGTTAATCCGATGTAGATTACTCTATGGATCGAAAATAAATATCATTATGAACAGTAAATTTTTACAATAATCAATGTCGTAACTACGGCGTAAAGCAAGAACTTATATATTGTTAGATACAAGAAAAAAAAATTATGATCATCAATGTAGAAAGTTGGTATAATTGCGGACCAACACAAAATTTAGTTGGTACATCCTACAAGCCCTAAAAAATTGTATGTAGCCCTAAAAATTGTATGTACACATCCCTGATTCTGATGTTTTTGTCTTTGTTTGTTAATTTCTGTTTTGTAACTTGCTGACACTTGTTGCTTGACAAACAATGCTGCCAACTTACTTGCCAAAAGAGAGTTTAAAAATGCCAAAAACAGGCTGAATTCTTAAAATTACATTAAACGTTTCAATTTTTAGTTAAAATTAAAGCAACAATATATAAATTATATACTGCGAAATATTACTTTCATCAATGTAGTGTTAAGTTAAATCTAGGTACATAGCTATGCTTAGATAAAGTTATAGGCAATTAAAAAAATGAATAGTACTCGCTGTATCGATTTATTTAGTGACAAACAAGGAATAATTATAAGGTATTCCATAAATTTCAGAGGAATCGCTGCAACGAAAACTGGGCCATTTATAAAAATGTAACCTGATGGTGCGTAACGCTAAACGCTGCCATATTCTCAAAAACCTAAATTATACATCTGCCTCAGGTATCTGGAAACCTAGGTATCGGCGAATCCGAAAAATGTAACCTTCCTTCGACCTTTGTTATATAACCGCATATATATATATATATATATATATATATATATATATATATATATATATATATATATATGTAAATATATATATACATATATTTAGGATATTAACCGTCTTTTCTCCTCATTATTGCAGTTGGATTACCAAATCATATGTCGGAGGGGTACAGTTTCTGGAGGACCTACCCCGTCCCAATATTGAAGCTTTTCAGTTTTCTCCAGTATAACCAGGTGTGGTCAAAAAGACAATCCTCTCAATCAAATTCTACACCATGGGTTGTGATAACATTAACTGTCGCATGATCATCCCTATCCCCGTGCTTACGTATATAACAGATTTTTCTCATGACTCGCGTAAGGCGTTTGTCATACTCCTTTCCAAGATCCCGAATTCAACAGTCCTGAACCACCTACGACCAATCTCCATTCTTCCCTTCCTGTCCAAAGTTCTCGAGGCCTGTGTGAACTACGCCTAACATAACATATTTAACGTAACAACTTATTAAGCCCTTTCCCGCACATCCGAGCAGGAATTGAGAAATCCAAAGTTACTGTGTTGGCTTTAGTTGATTTCTCAAATGCATTCAACACCTGCAGTCACGATATTCTTCTATCTATCCTTTCCAATGTTATGATTGCGCCTGATACACTGGAATGGTTCTTCTCATATCTGCAGGGTCGCAAACAGTCTGTCCGCGTGGATGAAGTCAAGTCACACACCACAGTCAAGCTCACGCTAACTTGAAGAGGCTTCCCTCTTCAAGTTAGCGTGAGCTTGACTGTGGTGTCCCTCAAGGTGGCATTCTCTCTCCTCTATTATTCTCAATATTTATCAGTGTCATCACCTGGAATCTTCAATGTGGGTACCATCTTTATGCCGATGACTTGCAACTCTATTATCAAGCCTCGACAGACGACATAAATAACACCCGTTAATAATGACCTGGAGGCTATTAGCAGTTGGACTGATGGGTTTAGTTTAGTAGTGAATCCAGCGAAGTGCCAAGCCATCATCATAGGCAGTCAGCGCATGACTTCTATCGGCTTAAAAACTTCCTTCCTTCCGAGACAAAAGTGATACTAGTACAGACCCTTATTGTCCCTGTCTTGGATTATGGTGGTGTATTGTGACCTGAATGCAGATCTCCTCAATAAATATGACCGCCTTCTGAATAACTGCATACGATTTTAACCTTTAACCTTAAGACTTTAACCTTCGCAAGTAAGACCATGTTTCCTCCTCTCGTCGCGAATTGAACTGGCTCACGATTCGTTATGGCTCGTTGATGGCTCACGCGTTGTTGCTAATAAGCTGTCTTCAGACGATGCATAAAGACTCTTTTTCCCCTATTCAACAGTAAATCTAGTAATTATTTTATTGTATATAGCTACCATTCCCTACATAATAATTAAAACTATACTAGATTTACTGTTAAATAACGTCTAACCTACCTACCTAGCAACCCTTACCTACCTACGCTAAAATCGAATGATAAGTCACAGTTCAATGTGATTTTGTCCCATGTCTAGTTTATATCAAATTTATTTTTTAATAATAAAATAATTTATGGACTGGAAATAAATTAAATTAACAGTTAGCTCGCATGGCTTAGTAACGTTACGCTATAGTGTAGCAACTAAGTCTGGCGGCCTTTTTTACAATATTTAAATGAGAAAGAAAGAATTAGTCAAACAGTTTCTTTTACTTTTTAATAAAGACTTGATTACAGCTGTTAGCGTTGGATGCAGATTAAGTTATTAGTTATTTTCTATTTCTAATTTAGTAAATTAATTCACATATTTTACTTATAATTTACTCAGTAGTTGTAGGTGAGTAGGCATAGTAACTGATTGACCAAAGAGACGACTTATGATCTGACGGGGGGTTACTTCAGCTAAAACCTGAAATATCATCTAATGAATTTATATATTTGTATTTTTTAAATGAATATAAATAATTAATAAGATCAAGTAATATTTTAAGTTCAAGTAAATAGCTAATCACATATTTTTGAAATTTGAGAGTAATTTCTGTATGAAGTTAGCGACATTTCAACTTAGTTTCTTTATCGCAAACAATATTACTGTACTCTGTGTCGCAAACCAAACTGAAGTGAGGCAGATAAGGCAGGCAAGAGGCAGTCTGTCGGTGTTTTGTAACAGTGACGGTTGTGTGAAAAAGTGTTGAAGCGTATATTTTACTGATATTTTAAAGTGCTTTCTGGAGTTCACGATGTCGGATGAAATCGCAGAGAATGGAACAGCGAACGGAGACGTCCCAGAGATCGAGCTGATCATTAAGGTAGTTATAGTTTTACACGTGTTCTGCACAAATATAAGATTAGCTGCTTACATTGGTCACCAAGGCACGCGTACCGTCGTTGGCCTTCGGAGATATAAGAAGATTGTGAAGAGGTGGCAAACATGATAAACGCTGTTTTATGCGGCAAGAGCTCAAAACTTTTAGCAAGTAAACCAGAATACTGTAGGGTTTATACTCTACGTTCGTCATGCATTTATAAATCACATGATATTGTCGTGCTCGACACTGCATGAAAGTATATTATTATTGCACTTATAATGCGCGATATTTAGGTCACTAGCATCTCTGTTGTCATCATTGTTGTTTTTCGTTTTCGAAACTTAATTTTATTATTAGTTAGGATTAAAATGTCACGTTATGATTGTCGTTATCTTAAAACTCTAGCTACATTGTGTAGGTATTAAATTATTTGAGAGCAGTAGGTAATTGTTGTAAAATTTCTAGAAGTTTAACAGTAACAACTAGTAAACTTTAGCTATCATACTCAGAGTATTCCTAATATATGACACATTCAATTTTTATGTGTTGTGTTATTCTATTGTTCATGTCTATGAATTTGCTTATCAATGAATATATTTACTTAGATACTTAAAAAGAAAATCAGTATCAAAATAAATAAAGTATTCATGACTTTTGTAATATATTTATATCCTTATTATCCTTGCCATGACATTAAATTGGTTCGATACTGTCAAAAAATTAATCTTGTGTTTGGTTATTCATGATTTTATCTATATATTTTGTTTTGAGACATTGTTACTAAATTCGAGATGAACTAAACTGCTTCCACTTGTTCTACATATAGAGAGCTAACATTATAGTAAGAACAAATGCATGTCAATAGCTTGCTTATAGATAGTGTAATCAGTTTCAAATAACTTGATAAAAATGTCTCCATATAAAATATTAGATAACAGATTATTACCTATCAATAAAGATAAAATCTTATTTCTAATTAGCATCCAATTAGAATTTGCTGTGCGGAAATCACTATCAAGCACTTCACATGTCTGATGAAAATACATTGTCACATTATGGGTAGTTATTAGCAAGGTCCTTTTAGTTTAGACACAATGTAACCTGGAAATTATCCTTCCTATGACTTTTTGGCATATATACATTCCTATCACAGTAAAATGCTACATAACATTATCAGATGCACTTTATCGTTTAAGAATGAAAAAATTATAATTATGTACATGTGAGAAGTGCGTAAAGTACCGTAAATGTAATAATAAAGCCTTTAATAGTCCACTGCTGGAAATAGACCTCTCCTTAGAAAGGAAGTTTTGGCCTACTATACCACGCTGGCCAGACGGGTTGGTATAATGTAATAAGAAACTTTATTGGTCTCACACAAAAATCATAAGCAAAATAAAACATGATAAAGGTGCATGAAATCACTAAAGGTACTAATAGTGGTTCCCAAATTAAGCCAGAGCCTGTATTTTGTTAGACAACATGCAGGATTTGCCAATTATATTTTTGACAAGTTACAGATTTGACTACGGTTTCAACCAGGGTACATCACGGTACATCACAACACTTTTTTTTCTGTTGCCTTACTGATTACTGTGTGATGCACTTACTAATGCATTTTGCATATTTGAACTGATTATGAGATATTGTAGAATTAGTTCTGGGTATAGAATATTTGGATGTTACCAACCATTTGTGGTGCCTAATCTGCAACATGACTATCACCATTATATATGACTATTATGTCATGAAACAAATTTCACAGCACTATTTAGACCCAAAGTTGTGGCTTTTACTATGATTCTCTAGAATCTGTGATCTATCACATTTATGTGTTTTTTCATAACACGCACAAATTCCAAAATGAAACCTTGTTGAGTGCGCTCTGAATATTACTAGTAAGTTGAATTGTCTATGACCAGAAAGTCCACACTCTAACCAATCCCTTTCAATGTTTATATAAGATACTATATCTACTAATCGAAATTTTAAAATATGCCTATTTAAGAAACTAAGTTCTTAAAAAGCTAGGTTCTTAAGATCTCATTTAAATAGATCTCACTATTATATAAGAACACAAAGATCAGTTCAAATAGATTTATGTATTCATGCATAAAATTATTAGCAATGAGCGAGAATCAAACCCTAAATCTCTGTTCGTGGTGGTCGTACAAACTGCCATTTACCACAGTACAAATATATTTTTGTTTGAATTGTTGCCAACCAGTGCAAAAACTGTAAATATTGTTTCCTTAATATGTGTATTTATAACTTTTAGATTATATCATCATAACAGATGTTCGAATCACGAAATTTTATAGAATATGTAGTCATCATCATCAACAGCTTTAGTGGTCCAATTCTGGACATAGGCCTCTACTTAGAAAGGAGAAAGAGATCTCCCCTCGTATGACGTAGTGTAATAGGCCACTGTCTGAAATGACCCTATAAGGGCTTTTTTTATCAGGGCGGGGAGCGTTTTTATTGCCAGCGTACAGTACACACTTTTTACCTCACATTAACAACGAATTAGGCACAAGATTTTGCTTTAAATTTAAACATTCATAGGGCATTATGTTCTCAAATTTACATGTATAAAAAAAGCTACGAAAATTACGTGGTACATCTATTTAACAACAAATCTTCGCAACTAAATTGTATTCTTAGATATGTTTTGCAAAAGTATACTCTAAACCTTGTAATTCCCAACTTTTTTGACCTTCGAATATCAAATCCAACGTACCATAAATTCAAATGAACACATTTGTACCACGATCGTGTTGCGACATAGGCGTTCCATATAAGCTTGTGTAGTGACACTATCGAGACAAACGGTCCCCAAGGGCCGGAGTTTTCATGAGCCGTACACGTCTTCACGGCTAGCGAAATTGTTACGTCACGGACCGTCGACGAAACGATAATGTGTAGACTTTCCGTGTCTGCGGTTTAGTGTGTGTTTTATTACACGAGAACTATAAGTTGTGCGATACGCTTAAAGCAGATTGGACAAAAATATTTTTCATTACTTTGTGTCCATTGTATTGTATTTTTTTCTTAAAAAGGTTTACTAGCAACTGAAATTACCAGTATTAGTACCTTCCAGTTAAGCTAAATTGCTTGTGTTAGGAGTGGCTTTACGTCGGTAGTGTACTGGTCAGGATTCAAACCCACGACCTCTTATTCGCAAGTCCAATGCGTTAACCACCGTAAACAGATATTGAGATGCAGATATGGCCCGTGGGTGTCCCTGTCTTATTGACGTCATTACGTAGATGACCGTACGGGTACGTGACCCCAGGCGTACGGGTACGTGTTGGATCTACTGCAGTGTCAGACCTGTTTCCCAGGTATACCCTAGAAAGGAAAGCCCTGGTACCCCGACGTACCATCTACGGCCTATAGATGACCGACCCCCTCCTGTGTGGGCACCCCGATGTTCCCTTCCTGCCCCCGAAGGGAGTGCCGCTGCATAGCCACCCACCCCGGCCTTCTGCTAGAGTGACAGATGGCCTCACCTGTCACACTAGGCCTGCGCTTATGGAGGACGGAGGTCGTTCTGCGAACTCCTGCGCCTAAGTCGTCTGCGGTACCTGGCCGGGCGAGCCGTGAGAGTTCTCAACCTCTCACGGTCCCGCTCCGCCATCTCCTGCGCAAGCATAACCCGCAGAAGGAGACGGCGAAGTTCCACGCACTCTCGCTCCGTACCATGTATCATTATTTGTAAATGTTTTATGCAATTATTATACTGCACGTAGCCTTTACTTTCTCACATACGAAAAATTGATTGATCTCACAAATCATATACCTAACCATATTAGGCTCATAAATTCCTTCGCGTAATTCGAGTCTCGTTAATGCATAAGTAGTGGTCAATTAACGCTTCTCATTATTCGCTATGACGATCATTTTGACCCACTCCGGCTGCATAAATACACCTGCACAGGTAAAAAAAACGACTCAGACTAAAGATGTTCAATTCAAAATAAAAAAAAAACCTATATAATTTGGAAACAAAAAGGCGTTCACTAAGGAGTATCTGTACTTCGGAGTGAGCTCAGTTTTGTGTGTAATGTAAGATTGGCTGTTTTTTTTTGTTTTTGTTTTTATGTTAGAGGGGGCAGACGAGCAGGCGGATCACCTGATGGAAAGTGACCATCGCCGCCCATGAACGTCTGCAACTCGGGAGTCACAAAGACACAGGTCTGTGCGTATCGAGCGAAGTCCAGTTTCGGGGTCACTTAGAGGGTAAAGTCAAATTGGCCTCAAAGAAGTAAAGAGATAGAATGAGGAATGATGTGGTAAAAAACGGCGGCATAAAAGAAGTTGTGTTATAGTGACAAGAATAAAGCAAGAGAAGCAGAGATTGTTTGGGCATATTGGATCGATGAGCTAAGAGCGAATGACTAAAAGACTTTATTAAGGCCCCTATGAATTAGTGAGGCGATGCGGGCAGGCCCCGAAATACCATTTCGGCAGTGTAATGAAGAAGGCCCGTTAAAATCACTCGTAACCCGCGAGCGTATATAAAATGCCTGGTGAATGTGATAAATTCGCGAGCTGTATGTTAGTATCGTGGCATATTATCTCTGCCTACACCGGATGGGAAAGAGGCGTGAGTGTATTGAAAACTATTTAAAAAGTAAAAGCAAACAAGTTGACAAGTATTGAAGTGCAGAACACCTTCCTAGTGTTCACTCACAATATTACATCTACACGCAATGTAGACAGTTCTTGTTGGCAACTCACAAATCATGTTGTTTTTGTCCGTACATCGTGATGCTTGAATTATATAATTTTAATTGGCAACACATGGTTTAACACTAACACAACAGGGATTCGATGTCCCAGGTAAACTTCTAGTGTATTTTGTATAAAAATTTTGATACTTACTTAATAGCCATAGAAAAAAAAACTTAAAAGCAAAGTAAACGCATTTAGGTTGTCCCTATTTCAATAAGTAACAAAGTATCCATACTAATGTTATAAATGCGAAAGTGTGT